CTCTCTCTCTCTCTCTCTCTCTCTCTCTCTCTCTCGCTCTCTCGCACTCACACTCTCATAGCCTTTCCATTTCACATACGGTTTACTATTATTTTTCAATTTTATTTTGATATATACTCCAAAACAATAGTCCATAAGAACATAGGATTTAAATAATCTACTCGTGCTCTACACAGCGGTGTATATAATATACAGCAATCATTCCGTACACCATATATGCTGTCGTATATACTTTGAATGCATTTATGTGTTTAAGATGTTTATTATATCGTAAAAAGATTAAACAATAAAAGTTTTTTATTAAAAGATTTAGGTTTTAATTATGCACTTATATTAAAACTTTTAATAAAAAAATTTTTCCCTACTTAGGGCGCGATCTCATGTCCCCTCCTATTGATTAACCTTAGCTTAGTTATTGTTAGGCACTCTAACCGTTACACCCCTCTTACCACCCCTACCAACACCCTTTGCTAAATTTTGCTTTTATATTTTCATAATAACATTTATAAATGTTTTATTTTCAAATGTTCTTTAATAATCATAAAATATGATAAGAAATGAATGTACCTGGATAATAATAATAATTGTTTGTTTTTATGTGAGCTCAACGTATAGCGTACACTCATAATATCGTAACATTTCTATGGAATCATAAAGTTTATCACATTTTCCATAACAACAACAAACATATCATACAATTGATCGACATTTTGAGTTATTGTCGATTAAAAAAATTAAAAAATTTGAATTCAATGTTTAAATGGGTATTAGATTCGCGAAATTCATATTAAAACTTAATTTTTTGTAATTTGTGTGAAAAATGTCTACACTTTTGGATAAGTTTCGTATTTGCGATACGATTGACACCACTATTAGACATGAAATCAAATTATTTCATGTTATCTTTCAAAATAATATACGATTTGTTACAAACAATGACACCGTCTATGGATTGGGTGATAATTGTATGGGATGTCTGGGTTTTGGTCATGACATGGATGTAAAAACACCACTAATTATACGGGAATTGTGTGGACAACGGATCCAACAGTTTATCAATGGCTCGGACTTTGTGTTGGCTATGAATGAGGACAA